CTATGTACCTGTAGAAATCCTTCCTGTTATCTTTAATACCTTTAGCTAAGTTTAATTCTAACTGAGCCTTAGCTTTCCTAACCTGGTCCCTAGCTTCTTGGGCAACATCCCTGTACTCTTCCCATGCCACCTGCCCTTGCTTCCACTTATTATAAGCCTCTTTTCATTTGAAGTTTCCTCAGGAGCTCCATCCAAGGAGGTCTCCTGGCCCTCCTGCTGCACTTTCTTCTACTTGGGATGCAACACTCCTGAGCTTGCAGCAGGTGATCCTTGAATATCAACCAAGAGTCTTGGGCCCCCCTGCCCTCTAGGGCTGTATCCCATGGAACCTTACTAAGCAGGTTCCTGAAGAGGCCAAAGTTGCTCTCTTGAAGTCCAGGGCAGTGAGCTTGCTGCATGCTCTTCTCACTGTCCTGAGGATCTCAAATTCAACCATCTCATGATCCAAGGCTGCCCTGGAGCGCCACATTTCTAACCAGCCTTACCTGTTGGTGAGCACGAGGTCAAGCATGGCACCTCTCCTTGTCGGCTCCTCTATTACTTGCAGAAGGAAGTTGTCTTCTACACAATCGAGGATCCTCCTGGATTGCTTGTGCCGGGCCGCACCGTCCTTCCAAGAGATGTCAGGGTGTTTGAAGTCACCCATGAGAACAAGGGCCTGCGAGCGTGAGGCTTTTCCTATCTGTCTATGGAGTGCTTCATCCACAGGTTCTCCTTGATCAGGCGGTCTGTAACAGATCCCCACAGTAATGTCTCCCATAGCTATATTCCCTTTAACCCTGACCCACAAACTCTCTGTGGACTGCTCACCTGTCCCCAGACAGAGTTCCATACTCTCCAGCCTATCCCTAACATAAAGGGCAACTCCCCCTCCCCGCCTGCCAGGCCTGTCTTTCCTAAAGAGCCTATAACCTTCCATTCCAACACTCCAGTCATAGGAGCCATCCCACCATGTTTCTGTGATGCCTATTATATCATACCCTTGTAGATGTGCACACATCTCTAATTCCTCTTGTTTGTTCCCCATGCTACGGGCATTTGTATAGAGGCATCTGAGCCGAGCTCCAACTAAAGCCAGCTCATTGGCTGGAGCGGCTGGGATATCTCTACATTGCTCCCAGCATTTATTATAGGTTCTGGCAACTGACTGGATGTGTTGGAATGGAATGATGCCCCCCTCCCCCAACACATCTAGTTTAAAGCCTCCTTGACCAGTCTGGCAAGCCTCCTACCAAAACTGATCTTTCCCTTAGACCAGCTCCACCAGCCCCCAGTAGACCTGGCGTACAAGCTTGGGTCCCGTGTTCAAGACACCCAAACCCCTGACTATGACACCACCCTTTTAACCAGTTATTAACCTGGCTAATCCTCCTAACTTTTTTTAGGTCTTCCTCTGTACCCTGGAGAACTGATGAAAAGACCACCTGAGCTCCAGAGCCCCTAACCACCTCCCCCAGGGCTCTGTAGTCCTTCTTTATGTTCCCCAGGCTACTACTATCTATATCCCTAGCACCCACATGTATCACCAGGAGTGGGTAATAGTCAGTGGGACTCACTAGAGCAGGCAGCCTCTCTGCAACATCCCTGATCCGGGCCCCTGGTAGGCAACACACCTCCCTTGAGACGAGGTCTGGCCGGCAGAGAAGTGCTTCTGTCCCTTTCAGTGTAGAGTCCCCTACTACTACCACCCGCTCCTTTTTCCTAGCGGCACCAGTAGAGATCTTCTTTAGCAGTGCATCAGCCGGCTGTTTCTGGCTCGAGTGCGCTTCCTCATTAGCCCCCTGCAGGACAGCAAAGCGGTTCTGCGTGGGAACAGGGGATTTAGGGGGAAGCCCATTGCTTTTGGTTGTCCTTTTCCACCTTTTTTTTTTTTTTTTGTCACTAATTCCCAGCTTGCAGGGTTAACGGCCTCCTTCTTTCCTGCATGAGCTAGAAGGGAAGCTCGAGGTCCCTGCACAGTTTGGGCCTGGAGCAAGCATTCCTGCTTCCTCTCAGCTTCCCTGACATCTCGCAGTCTACTGACAGCATACCACAGCTCAGCCCCTGCTGCAGGACCTCCACCAGAGAGCACCGAGTGCAGTCCTGCCCATTGTGCACCCTCCCCTCACCAGACCAGTGCAGGCACTCTCTACACCCCGAGCTCTGCACTGCAGCCTCCCCTCGCATCGGCTCTGTCTGGGTGCCTCCGCTGGCCACCGCCGGGGCAGCCAGAGCAGAGCTCCCGGACCGGGCCCTGGTCATAGGACGAGTGCTCCCCATCCCGCTCGCCTGCCCGCACAAACTGCCTCGCCGCGCTCTGTTTGCCTGCTCTGTTCACCGCGCTCCTGGTAGCTCGCGCTCCCTGGGGCAGGTTTTTAACCGGTCAGGGCTGGTGCCGCTCCTCCTGGCTCCGCCCCCCGTGAGTCAGCTGCTCGCTGTCGTCAGCTGAGCTGCCGGCTCCCGGGCAGGTCCTGTCGAGGACTTGAGGCTCCCTCGGTGGCTCTTGTCGCTCTGAGTTGAGGCTCCTGGACGCTGATCTCCCCCCCCCCGCTCCGGTGTTGAAGGCGTCCTCTCTCGAGATACTCACCTCAGCAATTCAAATCACTCACCTCAGCAAATCTTGCAGACCTTTAGTCCACAAATCACAGACTGAAAAAACTAAGCTAAAGCAGAAATGAGCCTAACAAGTATAACACACTATCTCACTACCTGCTGACATTTGGCATTTTCTCATTTGATATTTTTACTGGAATCCTCACATTCATGCATTCCTGTGTTTCAGTCTGCCCAGCCTTGTGAGAAAGCACTGAACCCACTCAAGTGATTTCAGCTACGTTTCTGACTTTGCTTAATAATTCCTGAAGACCTTGAGTTTTCTTACTGTATAATGAAATTGTGAGGCTAAATCATTCGGAACATTTCACCTTTTTATTTTTCTCTTTTTTCTTTGTAGGTTTTTTTGTTTGTTTGTTTGTTTGTTTGTTTGTTTGTTTTTTTGATGGGGAGGTAGGAGGATTCAAATGTCCTTTGTGCTATTTTGAGCCTTTTGAGGAACATTCTTTATATTCTCCTAGTAATGAGGATGTAGCTTGCATGGGTCGGAGCAATCCCAGGCACAGCTACAGGTTGGGCAGAGAAGAGATTCAGAGCAGCCCTGCGGAAAAGGACTTGGGGGTGTTGGTCAATGAGAAAGCTAATATGAGCCAGCAGTGTGCACTTGTAGCCCAGAAAGCCAACCGTATCCAGGGCTGCATCAAAAAGAGTGTGACCAGCAGGTCAAAGGAGGTGATCCTGCCCCTCTACTCTGCTCTCGTGAGACCTCACCTGGAGTATTGTGTGCAGTTCTGGTGTCCTCAACATAAAAAGGACATGGAACTGTTGGAACAAGTCCAGAGGAGGGCCACGAGGATGATCAGGGGACTGGAGCACCTCCCGTATGAAGACAGGCTGGGAAAGTTGGGGCTGTTCAGCCTGGAGAAGAGAAGGCTGCGTGGAGACCTCATAGCAGCCTTTTAGTATCTGAAGGGGGCCTATAGGGATGCTGGGGAGGGACTCTTCATTAGGGACTGTAGTGATAGGACAAGGGATAATAGGTTCAAACTTAAACTGGGGAAGTTTAGACTGGATAAAAGGAAGAAGTTCTTTACTGTAAGGGTGGTGAGGCACTGGAATGGGTTGCCCGGGGAAGTTGTGAATGCTCCATCCCTGGCAGTGTTCAAGGCCAGGTTGGACAGAGCCTTGAGTGACATGGTCTAGCGTGAGGTGTCCCTGCCCATGGCAGGGGGGTTGAAACTAGATGACCTTAAGGTCCTTTCCAACCCTACTATTCTATGAGTCTATGATTCTGTCTTTTGGAACTGATTATTACACATAGTGCTCCTGAAAAATGGCTGTTCTCCATTTGCTCTGGAGATTCACCAGTCTTCTGAAAACTTTCAAGATTAATCTGGATAATCTGATGAAATGCTGGTTAGTAGAATTTATACTGTAGTTTGATCACTATACCATAAGACATTCTTCTCAAGCCACATTCTAAATATCGTTTTTGACACATTGATAAATTAGAAGTATCTAACTATATATTTACTATAGTACAGTATCTACTGCATATTTATTGCTATTTAAAAGTAGCACTTGAACTCTTCTTAAGAGCTGTATCTGTAGGACATATATGGATTTGATTGCCCATTTCATTTAAGATTAGAGATCTTTTAAGGAAAGATACGAAGTCCTTTCTTTGCAGAAGAATTAAACATTTTTATAAATTCTAAAATAATTCCTAAAGTGTACTTTAAGGTTGCAGTCAGCACATTCCAGGAATAGTTTCACTACAAATTATAGTAAAGGATGACAATGAGTAACCCATTCTATGCTTTTGGTCATCCCCTAGTACTCGGCACTGGTGAGGCCACACCTCAAACACTGCGCTCTGGGCCTTCAAAGGCATGTTTTTTTTTTTCATAAAACTTTGCAATTATTATTTTTGAAAAGCACTCAAAACAATGTAAGTACTAGAGAACCTATTGAAAAATGTCAGGGCTAAATACAGATTTTGTCAAAGTGTAGATAAGCTTCTCTGGAGTAGGGAAAAGCTCCAATGCACAACTGTTCAAGACTGTAGTAGATAAAATCAGAAAGATTCGAGACAGGTAGGTAGGAATGTAGATAACGTCATGAGGTATGTACTGGTATGCAATGATTTAGTGTGCAACCTCAGGCTCCGGTGCTGGGATGGCTGGAGTGCTTGATTTTGGCCTGGGCCATCAGTTACACAGGATGGAGAACCCCTGCATCCCTCTGGAATTTGGCAGCCTATGTCTTGCCCTGTCTCTCAAACAGCGGCTATCAGCACATAGCATCAGCCTGACTAAGGCTTTGCCAAAATTATTTCGGCTTAAAACACCGAGATTTCTTACAGCTCCCCAGTAAATTACTTCAGGTCTTGGGTCACCGCGAGCATTCGGCAAGCCTGTACCACGGCCAGTCACGGACTACACTTCCCAGCAGGTACCGCGCATAAGGCGGGATGAGGGCGGGAGGCTGTGGCGCGGAGGTCCAATGGGAGCGGGCGATGGTGGGAGGTAAGCGCTGGGGCAGGCGGTTAGCCTCAGGGTTTCTCGCAGTGCGGGAATTTCGGACGGGGCGGAAGGAGCGGCGGTCGGGTCTGGCACGGAGGAGGTACTTTGGGCTGGCGTCTGCCTTTAGGGTGTAGGTTTTGTTTCTTAGGAGGCAAAATTTGGGGCGCTGTTTTGCCTCCCCTTCGGCGTACCATGCGGCCCCCGCCCTTCAGGCAGGTTCGGCAGGTTTTTCCCGCTGCCCTCGCTGAGGAAGTCGTTGGTACCGCCGCGGCCCACTCGGCCTTGTTCCTCCCTCTCGTCTACTGCCGGGGTACGGAAGATACCTCCCCTGCTCTTCCCTTCTCTTAGCCCATGGCACGGCAGGCAGCTCCCTGGGTGACAGGGAGAGAGAGAATGGGGTCAGGTGGGTCAGAGCTCCCTCAGTTTCATCATGGGGATTGCTACACCTGCTCTCCCCCGCTACGGGCTGATGGCTCTAAAACTGCCTTTGCTGACAGTGGCCTAAGGTTTTGTTTTGTTTTTTTTCTTTTTTTTTTTTTTTTTTAAGCGCTATGACGAGGTGGGGTAGAGGCTCAACTCGGAGCCACTTGAAGGAGGTTTGTCTCCTTCAGGAACATCCCAGTGTTGGCTGACAAACATATCATCTCACCTGGGAGGTATTCCGGAGTTTTGCCTTAAACTTCTTTTTTTTCCCCCTTAAATAAAACCCTACAAATCACAAAAATTTGAAATTTTAGGATCAGAACAGGCCTGTTGTGGAAGATCTGGGCTAGTTTCTGTCTGTCAGTGGTTGTGGGTTTTCTTCACTTCCTGTTTCTCGCCATTTGCCTTCGTTGTTTAAGACTTAAGCAGCTGCAGGCAGGATGAGTCCTGGTGTTTTTTTTTGGTTTTCAAATTGTGCTAAAGGCTTTTATTAATTCATATGGAATCCATTGGCATTAACAAAAATGTAAAAGCTGTTGTGAAGCTTCCTATAGCTATTACTGTGTAAAAAGACCTGTGCCTTCCTCAGTAGGAATAAGGTGCCCACTTAATTCATGGGGATAATCCCCAAATGAGATAGGATTCCTAATGAATTTAAGAAGTGTTGATTTTTACAGTATGCCAAGTTATCAAAAAAGCCAGATGTCTCACTTGCATCGGTACTTGCTGTTGGCTTGGTGGTGAGGTGATTTGAGATGACAGCTGATTTGGTACTTTATGAAACTTATTGTGTTCTTTATAACATAATTATCTGAGTGATGCTCAGGATTTTCAGGAGAACCTGAAATACTGCTCGGAAGAAAAAAACGCTTTCTTGAGAAAGCATTTTAAAGTTAGTAACACCGTAATTCCTCTGTTCCCTATCTCTGAACAAGCTACATTCTGAATTTTTAAAAAGTCATCTCAGTGTATTTATAAGAGCATTCACTTTGTCCAGTATGGCACTATTGTGATGAAATGCTTCTCATTAATTTTGGTCCACCAGTGTACGTTTATTCATTTTATCTGAAATGGTGTTTTCTTATTTCTTGGGAAAGAACTTTAGCGCCTCTTCATTATTTGTCAGATGTCTTAATCACCAGGAAGTGACATTACAGTGCTACTCAAAAATGTAATACAGTGATGGACCAGTCACAAAAATCACAGAATATCCAATGTATGCAAAAGAAGTCTTTGTTCACAACCTCCCTCACTTGGCATTGTAAGATCTGATACTTCAGGTACTTTTATTTTGGTAGAACTGTTTCAAAGGAGGGACCACAATATTTAGAAGTTTTATTGTTGTGTTATTTTCCTCCAACTCCTTGAGCAAAAAGTTTTTTTTTTCCTGCTTGTCTTTATGTCTTTTTTTGCAGGCAGACTTAGACGTCTTGCTACAACTGATGAACAGTAATAATCACATGTAGATTTCATGTCTTGCTGAGACTAACTATTCATGTAGAGGAGCACAGGTCACCAGCATGCCTTCTCTGTGTTGAGTATGGAAGCAGGCCCTAGTGAGATAAACAACCATAAAAATGACAGTTTCCAGAGAATAAAACTTGAGGATAGAGAATAAACCAGCCTGACTAGCCACACAGTAGAAATACTTCCTTATTAATTTCAGAGTTTATTGAGAATGAACGCCAACAAAAATTGAGAAGTGGCTATTCATATTTATTCAAGTATCTCTAGAGTAGCAACCGTTGCATTGGTAAGGATAACACCAGTAATAGTATTGCTGTTGTGGATTTGTCTGCATATCTCAAGTACATTGTATTCACTTTTTTCCAAGTTTTTTTATTAGGGAGAAGCAGAAGAAATAGCTTTTGTGGTATTTAAGAGGCTTTTGGAGAGTTTAGACAAATAGTCTTGGAATATTCATACCTGTTAGTAGGAAAATCTTTGTTTTGAGCATATTGTAGCCACATAAAATGCTGCTGTTTACAAGCATGCACCTTGAAAATTGTTTTTGTCAGATACCTTAGCTAAGTAGGGTCAGGTCTGTTTGATAGTTGAATGATAGTACAATACTTGACATCTATGGCACTCTGTTTCCAGGGACTTTAGCATGCTTGGAGACACTAATGAATTAAGCTTCACAATACCTGTGGGATAGAAAATATTCCCCTTTACTCATAGGGAGAGGTAATTGAGATGCAGGAAAGTTAAAGGTGATTTATTTTTATGTATATGTGTTTTTGTGAATTTTTAAAGGTGATTTTAGGGAGAAGTAGATGACTTTATTGCAGTTGTTCACTGTACAGTAGGCAGCTCTACATCATGTTTGCTGGTTCATTAGTTTTCTGACAAACCATGGATGTTTGCAGCACTGTGAGTTGAAAAGCACATAGAATGATAGAATTTGCACTAAAATGTCATTTTCTTTTTTCTTTTTTTTTCCCCTAGTTCTAGAATTTTCATGTAGGAATTTTTGCAGTCTCAAGTAATTTTGGTTTTAATCAATAGAAGAACCTTGAATAGATTTATCCAAATAAATGTGAAAGCATGTGCAGCCATTGCTTAAATATTTCCACGGATGACAGCTTTTTTGTAAGAGAGTGAGTGCTTAGTATTGTGCTTGCTGCCCATTGAAAGCGATCAGTGTTTGGCACCTATGGCCTACTGATAGTTTGACCAACTTGTAAGTAGGCATGGTGCCATCTTAACAGATGGTTATGAATATAGACAGCCAAGAAACCATGTATGTGTATCTCATGTATTTGTTAAGGGCAGGGTTCCCAGCTGGGGACGTTCAAACTTATGTCCATTTAAAATTTTTGCTTTTATGGATAAAGGGAAGTTGTCATTAATTTATTTTTTTTTTTATTTCTAAATGCTTTCAGGCATAGAGCACATTAAACAAGGAAGGGGGAAAAAAAGGGAACCCTATCTTCTCCTTCGGTACTCTTAAGGAGCTATGTTAAGTAAACTTAATTCCCTTTTAAGTGAGACTGCTATCAAGAGACTTGCTGTGAATGTCAAAGATGTGAAGCATATCAATAGTTTTCTTTTACTGGATTGCTGGCTTTATTGAAAAAGAGGCTACAAATTTTGCTTTTACTGGGCAGCAGTCTGTCCAGCATTCAAGGACCTAGGTGCATCTGACCAAGTCTCCCTGGAATTGTTTGTAATAACTCAGAGGTCAAGGGATGCAGTCCTTCAAGCCCTTTTCAATGTCTCTTATATTGTTCATAGCTTGAAGACAGTATACTTATTTTGTGTACTTATGTATAGATGACAGTGAGTGTGATCTTGTCTTATGTTTGAGTCATTAGGCAACACTGCTGAATTTTGTGCTTTCTTCTGAGTCAGTTTTGGGGATCCAGTCTTCTGGTCAGTTTTCCCATTACTACTTCAGCTGTTTTCAGTCTGTCCTTTGTTTTATTCCTTTTCCTAATCAGGGCATCCTGAGAAGCTGCTTAAAGGTCTGTTGTGATCATTTTGGTCTGCTCTTGTAAAGTGATACCAACACAGGTATTCCTACCACTTGTTCTTACTGGTGCTTTGAAACCATTATGTTCTCAGTGGTATGGTCTTGGTTGAGCTATCTGGAATTAAATTTAGTGCTTTAAAGTCTTACGTTTCTCCTGTAGAAAATCTGGAGGAAGAATCGTCCTCTAAGGGATTACAGTATGTATCACCTTGAAGATCAAAAAAACCCACAAATGAACAAACAAACTAGCAAAAAAAAAAACCCCAACCAACCAAAAAAACCCCAAAACCAAAAAGCTGCAGAGGTGTAGAGAGAGAAATTTCTTGAAGTTTTTGGGTAAAGTTAGTCTTAAATTTTAAGTTTAAAATGTAAAAATTGTATCTTGGTTATAGGGAAGAATGTTACTGTGTAGAAGTGGAAATACGGGAAAGTAATGCAGAATTAAAACATCCTGTTTTGTGATAATGAGAAAGCTTGTGCTGTGTATGTTGATGCATAGCAGTCTCTTCTTGTGATGTTGAAGTTATTTATTTAACTACAGTAGGTATTCAGATGTGGTTCTGTGACACAGAGATACTTCTTAGATGAATCAGGACTCTGAAAAAGTAGAACTTTTATTTGGCGTGGAATCATGTAACTTCTCTTCTGCTTTTATTCCTATATTGAAAGACTGGTGTCTGCAGACTGCTTGCTGCTGGAGCCTAGTACTCTCTGATCAGGTTCTTTTAGTTCCTTCATATATGGAGAGCTGTCACGGTTTAAACCCAGCTGATAACTCAGAACCAGACAGCTGCTTGCTTGCTCTCCACGCTTCTCCCTTGCTCTGGGTCCGATGGGGAGGAGAATCAAAAGAATGTTAATCCCATGGTGCAATAACTGAAGTATAATATAAAACTATTCTATTAGGACTACTACTAATGATAGGGAAAGTAACAAGGTGAGAGAATATAAAACTATAAAGGGAAGGTAGAAAACCCAGCCAATAACCAGAAGTGATGTGCAGTACAATTGCTCACCACCAACCAACCAATACCCAGCCTGACCCAAGCAGTGATCTGCCCCTTGTGGGTGACTCCTGACAGTTTATATACTGGACATGATGTACCGTAGTGTGGAATACCCCTTTGGCTAGTTTGGGTCAGGTGTCCTGTCTTTGCTTCCTCCCAGCTTCCTGTGTCCCTTCTCACTGGAAGAGCATGAGAGACCGAAAAGTCCTTGATCAGGGTAAGCACTGCTTAGCAGCAACTAAAACGTTGGTGTGTTATCAGCATTGTTCTTAGACTAAAACACAGAACTGCATCAGCTACTAGGAAGGAGAAAAATAACTGTCACGGCTGAGCCCAGGACCAGAGCATAATATTTAATATAAAAATTACTTGCTTGGAGATAGTTAATACTATATGGGATTTCTGATTTTGGAGGGTGATACAAAATATACTGAAACAAATGTTAAGTTAGACTTGGCAAAGCACAACAATCGCAGTACCCAGATGGGTCACAATACCAGTGTAATTCCTATTACTTGTCTCTATACTATGCTCACTGTCATGATGCTGGCATCACCAGTCACTGGGAAGGAATAACCAGGTTGAAACGAGCTCAAGCACATTGCTGTTTTTGAAATTCTGCTAGTTGTTTAGGTTTTATACTCTTAAGTTGAGCTGAACCTTGTATTCACCCTCCTGCGCTGGCCTGGCTAGCTCAGGGAGACCTTTACAGCACTGTTTGATCCACAGAACTGTGCTCCACCCCATGGTCCCCTTTGTTGAGCTTAAGTGAGCTTCTCGGGCACATCACTGCTGCCAGTCTTCACCAAGTCAGATTTTATTCAGTCATGTTCTACTCCTAGGGGTTTAGTCAGTCATAGCTGCAGATATGAATATTAGTGGACAGAATATAATTTTCAGGAAACTTGACAGTTCTTGCATTTAGTAAGTAGAGAAATGGGTATGGACTGATCTCTTCAGATGTTGGGTGACAGATATTATTTGGGGAAGAAAATTTTCCAAAAATGCTACCCAGTCAGAAAAGAGGCTTGTAGAGGGGGGAGCAGTTTTGAAACAGCTGTCATACTTACTTGTTTTTCTATCTGGGAAATAAAAGGTCTTAGAGGAACATTCTAACTGAAAGAGGAAAACTGATGTTAAGTAACTGCATTTATCTTAGGGTTATTGTATTGCGTAGCTAGACTAATGTGGAAGATATTTTGCTATCCAGAAACTTCCTGAATTGTGTATTAATGTTCTTTCCTCCTTTCTCAAGCAAAATAATAATAGTAAAATACCACCATTAAGAATGGTATCTTTTAGAAAATAACTGTGGCACTGTTTTTATGACTTTTATAAGTTAGAGGGAAAGATCATTTATTTGTAAAACAGATCATGAAGGCTTTTCAGGTAAAGAGGTCTAGTGCACTTTTTGCCATACCATGGCTGTATATTCTGTAAATTCTTTTACTGAATCAAAATATGACTCTGCTAAAATATCAAAGCATTCCTTTGCTCACAATGAGTCCTATTCTGCAGAAAGGTGCACATTTGGGTCCAGTGGGCCATTATGTTAGTCTGGAAATAATGTTTATCTGAGACCTGAGGTTTGGAGGTGACAGTCTCAAAATAGGTAGTTATGTACTAGTTTGATTATCTACTAAATGTTGCCTTGTGAACAATAAGCAGACTTTTGTTTTTGTTGCATGTAGATATGTAGGAGAAAAAATAACTGTTTGAATAGCTTAATGTTTTGGGTACTTTTTAGAGCAAATAGGAATTCCTCATGCTCTTACTGAAGGCTTGGACTATATGACACTTTTTGAATATGCCAGTTTCCCTCCAGGAAAACTAATGAGCTTTATTTCATTAGTTTTCCAAATTCAGATCTATGATTGGTTGTGATTGATTAATACATTCTGAGATTTTTCTAGCATGTATTACAGAGGGTCTTCTAATAGGTTTCTCTTGTGAAGAGTTTTGACGGCAAAATTTTTTTTTAATACCTCCTGGAAAAATGAGTTGGTTTTCACTTAGAATTTGTGCCAATGAAACTACTTACTGTATTTCTTTTAAAGTATCTTCGTAGAAACAAATTCAAACTTAAACTGCTTATGCTTTTTCTTTGCTTGCAATGGATTTCTACAAAAACTAAGCCTGGTCAGCATGTAACCTATGCTTTCTTTTGTTTTGTTTTTCGTTCCCTTCCCTTATCTTGCTCCAGTGAAAATGCCATATAAGAAGGCAACTGCTGGAAAAAGAGCCCCTGCAAAAAGGAAACTTGCTGAATTATTTGGTCTGGGAGAGGTTCTAACAGATACGTCAAGAAAAGAATGGAAATTAGGTGTCCCTATAGGGCAAGGAGGCTTTGGACGCATATACCTTGGTAAGTGTAGTTATCTTTGATAATGTTTTGAAATGGAGAGTGAGATGTTTATCCTTTTGCAAAGCACTGAAAAGTTGACCCTAAGTGAGAAACACAGTGTCTGCGAGTGATCTTTTTCACTAGAACCTTAACTTGGTTCACAATGTTTTTTTTTAAACCAACCTCTAATGTATTACTTTTTAGCAGTGAAAGGATAGTTTAGTATTTATTTAAATTTGATTTTTTGGTCTGGTTAAAAGAGGGTATTTTTGCATAAGTGTCCTTCTATCACAAATTCTGAACTGAAACTGTCTAAGTGTATTCTATGAAGGCTACTGATCAGCCAGTATTTTGGCTGGTTTTGACTTTGGTGCTGCTCTTGATTTTTATTGCCTTGTGAATTTCTGACATGTCATACACTTTTTTTTTTTTAAATGTAATCAGTATTCAAAACAAATTGAAATCTTGGACTGTACAGTTTAAAGTGTAAGCACAGATCCTGCTTTGTAATGCTGTTTTTTTTTTTTTGCGAATTCAAGGAAAATTTCTTTTAGTAGATAGTGTTCCATACTTAGTATCCCTGTTATTTTGTTATTTGAATAGATAAGAGATCTCTTGCGGATACCTCATGGAATTAAAAAAACTTGATTGCCCTAGTCACTTTCCAAATAATTTTGAAGGGATGAAAGTTAATGTGATCATGATAATAAAGCTTTCTTTTGCTGTGCATTTATGGTCTTCCTCCTCTTGGTGAAAAAATTGCACTGAATTCATACCGAGTTAAAAAAAAATAAATTAATAGTCCGTCCTGCTTTCATAATGAACAGACTCCAGCGTAAGTGGATTAAGAAAAAAAACGGGCAGTAAGTCGCTTCTTGTCAAAGCTCTCTACTACTTGCTCAGCCTTGCTCAATGAGCTACTAAATTTACTGAGCCTGGAGTTCTAGCTCACTCAAATTGTGTAGTTCTTCATGTTAAGAATTCCTGCTTTGTTAAAGACAAAGCTTGCTCTCTGTTTGCTTCCCCATCATTTGCACAGAGCTGTGCCCCTGCCTGTTCCTGTACTTTGTGCTTTCCCAACTTGATGTCCCTCATACCTGTGTCTCCTGTCACAAATATCAACAGCTTAGTAGCAACAGAAAGTCACTTTTGGATATGCGATATAGTAAAATAGGAGAGAGAATGTGTTCTCTGTCTTTATGCCCATAATGATGTATGTTCATCACAGTCCTAGAAAATGATAGAAATGCTGTTAACTAGGGGAGTTAACTGAATAACAAAAAATGAACTTTATTTGATAAACTGCGTATTTTACTCAAACAGAATGGAGAATACAAGACCATATCCCTATAGAGCAGACTTGCCATATAGAATTATTTCTCATACCAAAGTCTAAGGTACTGATATATGCTCATGTCAATACTTAATTGCTTTGTTGGGTTTTTGGCCATGCTTCATAGCAAATAAGTGTATGTTTTGTGACAGTTTCCTCTCGTACTAATAATAAATGCTTCCTTTTTAACAGCTGATGCTAATTCTTCAAAGCCAGTTGGCAGTGATGCACCTTACATTGCAAAAGTGGTAAGAGAGCATTTGAATTTTTACTTCACAACTTGAAAATGTTTGTTCTAGGATAGCATGTATAATTTATTTTCTGACTGAAAATAATACAATTGCTTAGTGCTGTTTAAAATCAATGTGGTGATACAGAGGAATGCTGCTGACAATTGAGACTCCTATGGATGAGGGGGGATAATGGAACATCAGCAGAGTTGTAAAAGGTTCATGAAATTTATCAGATTCTGTTTCATTTGGTGCTTACTGTAAACAGCCCAAGCATCACAAAATTAATGGAATCTGGCTAGTTTTTAGAGAGTTTCTGTGATTCAGTAGTGAGACTGTGTGTGCTGTTGCTTGCCGCTGGAAATTGGTAAGCTGACAGATGGCTTGGAAGTAGAAACCGCGAAACTTTGATTCCCAAGGTCCCCACAGATGTGAAGTCCTTTAAATGTTTTATCATAAACCACATACATACTCTAATTTTGATTGAATTAAAAGGGCATTGACACAAAATTTTAACCTAATGATTAAAGAGAAGAAAAAGTTGATGGCCCATTGTAGAAAATTGGCAAATTCTTTTATTAGTTGAAATTTTCCTATGCTTTGAATCTTACAATAAAAAAACTTATTTAACTTGATTTAGCTATAATATTCTCTTCCTAAGGTATAAAGTATTCTTTGTTAAATTTTGCAGATTATTTTGTATAGCTCTTACTGTTACATATGATTCCCTGGTAAAGTCTTAGTAAAAAAACTTGGGAATATGTGAATACCCGTAGTAGATCCAAGCCATTCATTATCTTGGTAGTACTTCTATTCCTGAGACAAAAGCAAATACTGTACAAGAATTTCACAATGTTAAAAAAAAAAAAAAAAAAAGATAATTCTTCAGCACAGTTCAGAACTGCAGTGTTTTAGTCTTTTAGTGTCCTGGGTTCAGCAGTAGCAGTCATGTTTGGTTTTTTTTTCCTTTGTGCTAACTGGTGCAGTGCTGTGTTTTGACTTCCAACCTGAGAACAGTGTTGGTGAAGTCAATGTTTTCAGTTGTTGCTAAGTGATGTTTACCCTGACCAAGGACTTTGTGAGGCTCATGCTCTGCCAGGGAAGAGGGGAAGCCGGGAGGAAGCAGAGATGGGGCGCCTGACCCGGGCTAGCCAGGGAGGTATTCCATACCACAGCACGTCATGGCCGGGGTGGGGGGTGACTGGGAGTTACCCGGAAGGACACGGGCTTCTGGGTGGAACTCGTCTTCTTGGCCGGTGGTATCGTATTCTCTTCCCTTGTTATTTTCCCTTATCATTGTTGTAGTTGATAGTTGCGGTGGTGATTTGTGTACATTGGTTGCTGGACTGTTCTTGTCTCAACCCGTGGGAGTTGCACTCTTTCGATCCTCCTCCCCGTTCCTCCGGGAGTGGGGGAGAACCCCGGTGGGGGGGGGGACACGGACCTCGATTGTTGTCAGCTCGGCACCACTCACTGGGAGTGAGTGAACAAGTTACCTGACTGGGTTTAAACCACGACATTTAGTTATTAACCTATATGGTGATACTGAAACACTTTACCACAGTAGTTGGCCCTTATGTAAATATGTTAGTACTTTTAACATGTGTTCCTGAAACAAAATGATGAGGTTAATTTAGACTAAAATACCTTTCAGTTAGTATGTGCCTTTAATCTTGATATTTACATCTGCTAACTACAGGGAAATTCTAGAGTGTTGGTTTTGATACTGTTCAGACTCCCCAGGGTAGTATTGGTGATGACCCTCTTTGTGAAATTTTGTCACTGAAAAAAATACCTGCTTTTTTGTGTCCAACTTGTGGAGGGGTGGCTATTAGGCAGGAGCTATAGTCTGTTTTGGAGGCAGATAAGAGATGTTCCAGTATCAGTAGTGGCCTGCTTGTGAGAGACACTGGCTCTTGATTACAGGCTCCTGCTGAGTTTGGACTGATCAGGACGCAGAGCACCATTTAGCTTTCATGGAAGAATCCAGTTTGACTTGCTTGGAAAATCATCAGTTCTGCATTATTTTATGCTGTGCATAATCGCTATCCTCCTCCTTCCTGGAGTTTGAAACCTGTCCATCTGCTTCTCTTCTTCTCCGCTTTGGGCTCTGAATATAAGAAGAGTCAGTCACAATAACTTTTGGGTTGCTTTCATGCTATATTTACTTCATTGCAGCAATTTGTAAATACCTCCTGATCTCATAGATGACTACTCACTTTAAATTTGTCTTAAACAATTTTGCCTTTATGGCACTAAAAGGTAGCCCTGGTCTTTGTGCTGCCCTCACAAATGACCCATAACATATTATGCTTCTACAGTCTAGTGTTACACAGCTACGCGTAAGAGGCTATTTTCTGATGCCTAGGTGATTCTTAGTTGATCTATCAGCTGCAGCGAAGTGGCTAATAGCTTTGAACAATTATTAGTGTTTAACAAAATATGTGCTTCTATAGTAATGTTCTTCAAATTAAGCTATTAAAGCAGGCTGAAAATTGGCTTAGTCTTTGACATATCCTCATAGTATTGGTGTCTGAGCAGTACAAAATGAATCACAGTTTTTATTAAATAAATGCTATTTAACGTGGACCTTTCAGATGTCATTGTTCAAGAGTGGATGCAGAGTTTAATAACACTTCATTAAATTGCTGACAGAAAAAGATCAGAATTCTTTAAATACTGCTAGAAGAAATTCATCGGGTTTCCATTGTGTACTCCACCATTTCTTTCGGTATATCTTTTCTAATTAGACTTTAATTTCAGTTTTGCAAATCGTGTATTTAGACTGACTCTGGGCATAAAGTTGTAGAAGTTTGTGTTTGAAAACTTTCTGGCTATAAGATGACTAGTATGGCAAATTTTGGACATCATTATATGAGCCTTTTTAAGACAGTGTATGCATTTATCTGTATGTAGAATTAATGAATGATATTATGAGAAAACAGCTTCATAGTCAACATGGAGATCTGTTTTGTGGCTAAATCATTTATCCATACCCTCAAGTATGAAGAGACCAGATTTTCAGCATTTGCAGACTAGAGAAGGAGGCACTGAGACATGATTTTTTGTGGAATAATTTATTTAAAGATAAATATTTTAAGAATTCTTAGCACCTACAGTTTTTTGCTCCATTTTAGTTAGAAAATAACATTGTTCAAAACTATGTAAATTGAATAAAAATATTTTCAACTTAAGTTAGAGTATTAATGGATTAGGTTACACAGAAACAAATGAATAGGCCAAAGGAGAATTTGTTCAAGGTAACTGCAGTATAAGAATTGAGCTATTTAACCCTTCTCCTTTGTATATATAATGCCTGTATGGCTAACTTGTTGTCAGTAGTGGGTAAATGAACTAATTGAAAATAAATATGCATGAACCTAGTTGTTTTGTTTTGTTGCATTTTTTTTCTGTTGAATGTTGGTCCCACAAGGAGTGGCCAAAAACTGTTGTCTTTGCTCCACTGTTTATCAGGATACTGATGGTGGTGAAAGTGAGGTGGAGATAGGCAGTAGCTTTGTGATCAAGTGTTCAGGCCAAGGAGTGGTGTCTAAGCTTATATCTGTTCTCATTCTAACCAGCCTTCTTACTCTGCCTCTGAGGCAGTGCATCAGGAGCACACTAAAGTCCATCTGCCTCAGTGCATTTGATCTCTTTACAGAGCTTCATTAATGTCAGACAGTAGTAAACCTCTATTAGCTGAGTGATACTCTCTGGCCTTTAGCAGTTTCCTGGATCAGTACATCTGCATTTAAAAGTTACCATTAAAACCATTTAAGATTAATATTATATATCTTGGAACTTTTGCTATTATCATGTGATTGTATTCTTTCTGGATTCCCTTGCCAGGAATCACATACCTTTTTTTTTTTTTTTTGGTTAGTTTTTTAAAGTGTAGGGTATTCCAGAACAGGTATTTTCACCGAGATAGTATTAATCTGGACATATATGAGTAATTAGACTAAAATAAATTGCTTACCTCAAAATCAATCACTTAGAAATTGCAAGAGTTTGAATTAATTAGTTGTGTGGGTTTGTGTTTTGTTTTCAAAGAAATTTCTCTTTCACTTTAGCTGCAATAGGTGGTTACCATAGATTTGTCTCTAGAAAATGGAACTGAAATACCTTATGTTAGCTTCAAGACAAAGTAGATTCTGAAGTCAAAGGTATAGTTGAAATTTAGTTTAAGAAAAATTGGGAGATCCTCTCTAAATTTTATCTTGATAACTAGTGTATAAAGGGAACAAAATACCTTATTTTAGGCATGAATTTAACTTTTGTCAAGATTTTTTGCATCAGATCATTTCAGGTGTTATTTTAGGCTTGCTAATGGCTATTGCAACTGATGCAGTCCAGCTTTAATGTGGAAAATCTGAGATAATGTTTAATGTTCTCTGCTGACTTTTGCTGCCAATTATTAGTAATATTTTTATATATTTCAGTTCATTTGTATTCTTTAATCTTTTGTTATGGGAGAGTATTCTTTGATACCCTTAATTTTAAGCAATTTATAATAAAGATAGTTTTTTAGAGCCAACCTTCTTTTATCAAAAGATCATATTTATTGAATTTATCAGTACTGGGTAGAGTGCTTGAGGGAGAATATTTCTTTATAGGGTGAATGTTACGTTTTGTGAGCTTTTAATAATTGTTAGGCACTAATACAGGAGGTTTTAACTAATTTTAAATTGTCTTAAAGGAACCCAGCCAGAATGGACCTCTTTTTACTGAGTTAAAGTTCTACATGCGAGCTGCTAAGCCAGATGAAAGTAAGCAGTCTATTAAAATGTTTTTAATGAACTACAAGCATTTAGGAAAATAGTGCCTACAGGAATATGGTCAAACTTTTAAGAGAATAATTTTAGGTAATTTTAAAAATTATTTTTAAATTATTAAAATCTATTTCAGACTTATAGTAAAATTAAGGTTTTTTTTTTTGGTAAGATGTTCTTTGAAGTTGTCTTGATAGTGTTGCCTAAATTGAAATTGTAGTTGTGGCCCTGTCCCTACAATGGATATGTGATTATCTTTCCAGTACACTTTGCATACAAGTTCCTATGAAATAAGCAGCTCACGCTTATGCAGGAACTGTAATCTCTGCAAGTACTCTCTTTTTATGCAGGTCTCTACTGATACAGTTTCATAAACTTACCTTTATTTGTATTTTCAGTTCAGAAGTGGCCTCAGTCCCATAAACTGCAGTATTTAGGTGTACCAAGATACTGGGGTTCTGGCTTGCATGAAAAAAATGGAAACAGGTGAATACATCTTTTGGCATATACTTGGATTTATTTCATCCACAAGTACTATCCCTTTCACCCTAATTTACTTTATATGATGTATTTTCCATCTGTCTTCATGTTGTTCGTTTGTGCTATGAAGTTTTGTGTTTATAATGGGATGTTTACGGAATAGATGAATAGCTACGTTTTATCTCTGTTCTGTTTGTTACTTGTGTTTGTGTCTATTAACATTCTTTGTGATTTAGTTTTCATTTGTCTCAACCACTGCTGTCATATGCTGATACTATATATATGTAGTTTAGAAGCTTTTCATTTTTGAATTAAAATAATGTCAACTTCTGGTGTATAAGTCCTTTAATAATATGACTATCTTTAAAGTTTTTCTTCTAATATGGTGTACTTTTTAAATGAGTATTTTCACTCACACATGTAAAGGACATAGTGTTCTCCCTAAATCTGTTGAGTTTTGGGTTCTTCTTCCTTAATAATAGTCTTTCTGACTTAATATGTGAGCTAGAATAATTGCTAGTCTCATGTTAAATGTATTTTAAGTCTAGGTGTAGATTTTACTACTGCTCCTTCTCATGAAGGGTTTTTGTGGCTTAGTGTTGTATGTTATGTCTTTTTATATAACAGTCATTGTTTCTTAGTGGGCTTTCTCTAAATGGCTGTACTGCAAAGGAGTTTGGGCAGTTCTCTGGCAGGTTATAGTAGCTCAGGCTTCCTTGTGCAGACACTGCATAGGGCAGTTGTTATGTATTCCCTTGTATGTCAGAAGTATCATTGTTTCAGTTGGTTCTCAACTTTCACTTAATGTACAAACATTACTTGAGAGGTGAAAGTAAATATGACAATGATTTCCCCCCACCCTCAAATAAACTTTTCTTTGCAATGTTTAATGCAAAAAGTTTCTTTAATATAGCCACTTTGAGCTCTTACAGTAATAGAACCAATTTGGCTAAAATATCAGAACACCTTTGGCAAGTGAGAGATTTTTGGTTTTAATAATAGTTTTAAAAAAGGTTGCAACAGGTTTCAAGTCACCGTGTTAAGTCAGTCTTTTATAAAGCAAAAAAATATATATTTGTGTAAGTAATTAATGTTTGGGTTTACCTATAGTGAATTACAATACAGATATGTTCATCTGCAGGTACTTGTTACTGTATTGCATAACTAGCCAGAAAGAAAGAACAATTCTTTTGATAGATGAACTTTTGACGAGCTTATGTTAAAAAGTTAAGGATTGATGTGCAACATATGTTTCCTGTTTACCTGCAGTTTATCTTTTGAGAGGTATGTTTTCAATCAATGATTTGTGCAGTCGACATATAAATAAAATACTTTGCTAAGTACAGTTCAGTAACTTTGGTTTTCTTTTCCTCCTCCTTGAATTTAGTTACCGATTTATGATAATAGACCGATTTGGCCGAGATCTTCAGAAGATGTATGAAGAGAATGGAAAGCAATTTTCCCATAAAACTGTACTGCAGCTAGGCTTGAGAATAGTAAGTGTAAAAAATGTATTTTTATTTTTACAATCTGTCTTCCCTGTACAAGTCTTTCAGTTAAATCAGACTTTTGTGCTGAGTACAGGTCCTCTGCTGGGTGGAGCTGGGTACTGCATTTATACGACTCTTGTTTTGTTAGCTTGATATCCTGGAATACATCCATGAGCATGAATACGTGCATGGAGACATCAAGGCCTCAAACCTTCTCCTGAGTTACAAGAACCCTAATCAGGTATTTCTAATGCATTTTATTCCTTATGTTTTAAACCTTCTATTTGACAGCACATGGCAGTGCTTTGAACACGTGAAATCTAGCAGAAGCTCATTTTTAAGAATGTATATGGTAATATTATTTCTGCTTGACATTTATATCTAGTTAATATTCTGTGTGGGTTTTTTTTTTAATTTTTCTTTTTATTCCTTTTGCTGGACAGTTATCAAATTGACTGTTTGGCCTAAATAACATTCTAGAGAAATTCTCAAGATTAAAAGAAAATTTGCTCACAAATAAGCATTTGCAGGTGGAAGCTTAAAATTGTATAGTACGCTGGTAAATTATGTTTGCCTGTCTGCTTTGTTACCTCATTCCTTTGTTCAAGAAATCCACCAGATAAGTGTTCTGTTACTTGGAAAAATTGGTGTTTAAAGTGTTGGCTGTTCCACTTGATTTATAGGAGTCTCATTTTGCTGCATATTTAACTCTCTTTACTATTCAAACAATGCATATTAGAGTTTCAGAATTACGTATGTTGTCTTGCTCATATGTTTAAGTTTATGAAATAAGTAAAATAATCTCAGTTCTCTTGGAGTAACTGGTGTTAGTGAGAAGTAATAGTATGAAGTAGTATTCAAATGGGACAGTTGACTTTAAAGAGAGTAGTATTTATAACGGAACTTTTTCTTTTAATTTTTTTTTTTTTTTTTTTTTTTTACATTTAGTCTTACTGGCTGTAACTGGCTATTTTACTGTACTTGTCCTTTGCATCAGCACGAAATGACCTCTAGATCAGACTATGTGGAAGACAACAAAACCTGACATGTTTTAAAATCACACGTAGTAATCCCAATGAAGCACCGAGAAAGGGTTGTTTAAAGTTGAAAACATCACCATTTTTAATGTAACTCCCAACCATTCTCTTAATTTCTAAAAATACATTTGTTATATGCCGTCTTTTTTGTATTTATAGTTTTTTAATCTTGGAGTTTTGTGGAAATTACTAGGTATACTTGGTGGATTATGGACTTGCCTACCGATACTGTCCTGAAGGAGTTCATAAAGTATATAAAGAAGATCCCAAAAGGTGTCATGATGGAACTATTGAATATACCAGTATTGATGCACACAAGGGTGTAGGTAAGGGCCTAAAATTGTTCTCAAGATAGGCACTTGTGCATACTTTTTATAAATACAGAAGACTCTATGTGCTTCATTGGGTTTTGTAAACAACCAGGTTTCTGAATCTATAAAAATATTCTTTTCTTTTCCATGGATGATGCTGGCATTTGCTCTTTTTCCATTTACTGGCTTTTACTTTGGTATTAATTTACTTAATTTTTAATGTAACTTTATAAATAGAGTTCCCTAATTTCTTAAGACTGTTACGAAGTTTAGTATATTGCTTTTTATAAACTAAGTAGGAAAGGAATAGTGCCTACAAGATCCAGATAGAAAAACAAGCCCTGTTTTCAGGAGATAATACTTTGTTGTCAAAGTGAACACTGTTTTTTCATATTTGGCAAAGATGCACAATAGTCTTTATTTTGTTTATAGCCTAATATTTAGATTTTTTAAAAAACACTTTGTTTAATTATGGAATATTATTTCAGAATTATGCCTGTAATCATTGAACATCAAAAGGCAAGATGTGAGAAAAGGTTGACTATGGAAAGGACAGGCCTATGTCTGATTTAAACATTGAGGATTTGTAGTGAACACCAATTTTATTTTCTTCATTCTTAAATTTTGTTTTATTAACATAAGAGTGTGGCCTGCAAAAATAATAGTCTTTTGAAAATTATTATTTACATCAGGATGAAATCCTGCACCTATGCTTAAAACTGAACATGAATAATCATGACTTGATTTGCTGATTTGGACTTCTGGTGTAGTCTGTAGTCAATATACATATGGGCTGTTTTGGTTTTGTTTGGTTGTTTGTTTTTTTTTTTTTTTTTGTAAGGCTTAGGGATCTGATTGGTTATTGTCCTCTATTCAGTTTTCAAGCCACATAAAATAGTTCTGCATTGTGGAATGCTTTTTTCAGGAGGTGGCATTTCAGTGCTATTACTTTTTTGCAGAAGAAGGAAAGTAAAAACAGTTTTGAACAGAAAGTCAATTGCTTCACTAACTTGCTCAATTTTTTCCACAATCTGAGTACTTAAAGAGCTTGCCAAATCGGGGTAACTGCAGCATGTCATATCTTGAATGGAAGATAGAGGTTGATAAAAGACTTGAAAATGAAGGTATCCTTCCAGATGCAGGAACAATATTTTTTTCCTTCCTTGTTTTCATGTTAAAATGAATAACTAAGTAATGGATGCAGTCGTGTTGCATTGTTAGCATTGGCTTTCTGTTGTCTTAACGTATTTATAAATTTTAACTGCTGTTAAACTGTGTATGCTTTATTAGCTGCTCTTATGGTTCCTTAGCACCGTCAAGACGTGGTGATCTGGAGATCTTGGGTTACTGTATGATTCATTGGATTAGTGGCCATTTACCATGGGAGGATAATTTGAAAGATCCAGATTTTGTCAGAGACTCAAAAATTGGGTGAGAGCTACTTGTTTTCTTTCTCATTTGAAATTAAAAATAGGAATAAAAATGTCTTATTGTAGAAATGCTTTGTGTTTGCAGTATATTCCTTTTTGGTGAGTAGGCTGTTGTTTTGTATAGCCCCAGTTTCCCTTCATTGTGTCTCATGTATCCTTGGCTTATAATTATACTTTACTTGCACTGTTCCACTGTCTTCTTTTGCATGCAGGATTCTTATTTGTCCACTACAGTATTGTCGCTTTAGAATACTGCTATGGTTAAGGCAAAAAGCACTCTTAGAAATATGCTGGTAACCATTAGTCCCAGTTTACAGAAAGAGAAGCTTGGGATATGAGTAGCCTTTCTAACACCACACTCAAGTCATTGGCAGGCATGAGAGCTAAAGGTGCATCTTCAGTGTCTTTAAGCATCTTTTCACCTAAATGGCTTTAATGTGGGAATTTTAATTTTTTTTTTTTGTCCCTCTCCCTTGCTGTTACGTTTCTTCATCTTTCTCCCTAACCCCACTCAAGTCTTTCTTGTCAGATATTTAATATGAAGAAAGCTGTCCCAGCAAAGCTGTATTTGTCTCTAACAAGTATTTGTATCTGGCTTCCTTATCTCTACTTGTAACACTTTGGCCATCAATGTTAGTGCAGCTTTGCTCCCTCACTTTCCCCCTAGTTATTATTTTGGCAGGTGTTCTGCTCTGAATAATATCAGTTAGAGAAAGAGTCTTCTAGCAGGAAGAGGTGAGAGCATAGGTATGTGAGGTTTTAAACTGGACCAGTTCTTTTCCTTCAGTCTTTTACTTGCATCCTTTTATAAGAATCAAAAGTTGTTAAGCAAAACTTGACCATATTTCACATAGCCTGCCTGGCATTCATCAGCATCTCAAACATACTGCAGTCCTAAAAATGGCTGTACTAAGTCATACCAGAGGTTTATCTATTAGTGTTTCGCGTCTTTGGCAGTGTCCCAGGCTATGAACCTGTGAAGTTGGTCAGAACATGGCAAGATCCAAACTTTGACAGAAACTGTAATTTTGAATAACTTTGTTTTTCAGCTGTAGAGATATCTCAGTTTTGATGGACAAATGCTTTCCTGGCAAAAACAAACCAAGTAAGAAGACCTATTTTTAATTAAAATACTTTGTTTTGTACCATGTGCTAAGCATTCTCTAATAATTTGTTTAGTGTCCTTTTTCTTTAAAATAATAAAATCCATCAATTGGTTTAGGTCCCATCACCAAATTGTAGACAACTTTAGACAGTGGCTGGAAGCTCTGAAATTTGTATTAGGGTGGGGCATGTTCGATGCATACAAGGGAAGGCCATGCTGCTCTGCATTCAAATAAAACCAGATCAATTCAGTTGCTACAGAAGGTGAGGAGTTGTCATGCTGTCATCAGTATGTCACCTCCTGAGAGGGTTGTCTTGGGCATTGTACTCTAATCTGTTGCTTCATTAAGTCCTCCTTGTTTACTTAAGTTTGTACCTATTTTTCTTCCTGCTTTTATCAAAGCAACAATGTGTCAGGAATTAGATTGTTGATTAAGTTTAGACTCTTCCTCTTGGCTGTAGTTACATAAACTGCAGACACTGTGTTGCTTCTGACTAAAGACAATAGTAAGTATTTGCAAACATGAGATGTGTAAATTTATTTTTCACAATGGAATTTGAGATTCAAAATATGAAGTAAAGCAAACTTGAAATATAATACAGATTGTTTCTATTTTGCATTGGCAATTTGCTGAGTAGATTTTTTTTTTTTATAAAGCTTGACTATTAGAAATACACTTTCTTGGGATCTTAAATATTTAGTTACTTGCAGCTACCCCTGGTGATCAGAAGGTCAGAAGAGTTTTCACTGGTCTTTTTTCTTGCAGTGGTCAAATGTTTCATGTTTTTGTTTTTTTTTGTTTAATGTGTGTTTCAGTCTTGAACTGATGAAGTTCTGAGATAACACTGAGCTTCCTTTTCAATGTTTATAAATACAGACATAAGAAATACCATGCAAAAAATTATTCCTTGGTGAAGATTGGCCTGTTACATTTTTTTCAACTGACTTTTCTTCACTGCAATGAACATGTGAAAAACAGTGATGCTGTCATCACTGGGTAATGAACCTTGGTATGATTTTTTTTCTGAAATATGTTGTAGTAAGTCACAATTATGAGTTGTAAATAGCCATTTCAAAAAATAGCATAAGTAGTGCATGCATAATTTCTGACTCTTTTGTGGTAAAATTGAATAATTAAAATGTTTACAAATAGAGATTAATTGGAGGTACCATTTCTTTAGATGAAATAGCCAAATACATGGAAAAGGTGAAACTACTGAGCTATGAAGAGAAACCTGTTTATCAGCATTTCCGAGAAATACTTCTGCAAGGGCTAAAGGCCATTGGGCAAAAAGATGATGGAGTACTTGACTTTGGCTTGTCAGAGAGTGGAGACTTGCAAACAAAACCCACGCAAAAGGTTATTTCTGTAAAAAATTATGTCTGCTTTTAATTAATTTTTGAGCCAAATAGTTATAGTAGTATTGGAAGTAAGTGTAATAACTGCATCAAGTAGAGAATAGGCATATATTGAAATGTTTAAGTTCAAATCTAAACACATAATTTCTCTAATTTAACTTCACTAATTGTTATTAAAACTAATATAGAATGATATTTGTAGGTGTACTTTCATAATATATAATACCTTGGATAACAGGATTCATAGTTGTAATGACATTTGATCAGATTATCATTCTGTTAATTTACTTATTTTCTTTAAACTGCTAAAACTCCAGGTGGATCAAAATTCATGTAAGGTAAAGAAGTTTAGGTTTCATTTCATATCTTCATGACTAGTTAAAAGTTTAAAGTATACATCTTTATGCCAAGTGGAATTCACATATCGAATTCACTGTAATCTAATACATTATTTATGATCTTAACTATACTGGTAATCTGGGGGTATTTTGTTCCTTGTATTTAAGAAGCCTTAAACTCTAGATTTGGACTCCCATTTGAGTACAGTGTAAGAACTTTTTTAAGCCTTAAGGAAAGTGTGTTTTAAAATGTTTTAATAATAGCACAAATGGTCAAATAATGGAACTGTAAATATTGTCCCGTACACAAAAGTGTATTTATTACTTGTTTATTTACATTTGTTAATAACAGGTGGGCAGTTTGTTGGTTCCTTTAGCATGAACCAGAGAACTGAGAATTATAGTATAGGACAATAGTCTGACAATTCTGCCCATTTACTGACTTGATCAGCAGTGTGTTAAAGATGAGGAAAAATCACAAGAGAAAAAAAGCTGTAGGATTTTAAAGTCTTCTGAGGATACATGTCCAGCTTTTTTTTCTTTTTTCCCTATTAAATAGTACTTTGACTAAAATCATACAGCCATTGTCTCTATACCAATATTTTTTGCTGAACTGGATCTAAAGATCTGTCCAAAAGGAGAGTTCATTAGCGTAATGAACTAGATGATCTTAAGGTCCTTTCCAACCCTAATGATTCTATGATTCCATAAATTCTTCTCTTCCTCCTGTGGTTCGACATGGCTTGAGACCTGTATATTAGGAGGAAAAAAAAAATAATCTGTTTTTAATGGTTGACTGGATTCTTTGCTGAATAAGTTGGCCTGCTGCAGAGCCAACATCTGTGGCCTTTAATGTCCTTGTCCAGCAGATATTGCTGGTGCACATTTCCAGTGGAATAAAACTTCAAAAACCTAAATTCGATAGCCGGTATTAGTCAAGACCATTCCCAAAAGGTGAGATAATACTTTTTGCATAGGTTCTTGCTTACCAGCATCAATTAGGACTTAAGTTTTTTTTTAACATGGGATGCTTTCTTTTCTTTAAAATAAAAACCCAAAACCATCATCAACAAAAAAACACCAGAAAAACCCTTCACCCTCTGAGGAGCCATGCTAACGACTTCATGCCAGCTACTGCTAGAGCGTCTGAACAGAATAAGTTTTTTTTCATTGAAATCAGGTTGACATAACCTGCTTGATTTTGACCAGATACCAGGACAGATGACTCTTCAATCCACAATGGATTTTCTAAGCCTTGTAACATTTGTGGTATAGTCTAGGGTAGAAGAATATATGGTGTCAGTCCTTCTTCCAAAGGTGTATTTTGTACTTCAAGAATGACTGGAATGAGGGTCTTTCTTAAACAGGATGTCTCCCTCCCCAGACTACATGTTTGGGAACACATGATACTAGTTTTTTTTTCCCAGAGAGACGATGATTTGGGCTAGTTAAGAATGGCTGGACAGTTAGATATACAGAGGAAGAAAGGAAGAACATAGAATGCTAGTTAAAATTTTGTGTATTTTCTGCCGTGATGGGAAGCTCAGTATGATGGCTGAGTGTTTTAAAAATAAGTTCCAAATTCCAAACTCTGCTAGAAAATGCTTTCCGTAAAGATAATTTACCATTGACCAGTAGCATCTTGCCTCTGAAAGCCAGTATCTTCTAGCACATGATGAATTTCTTTTTGGCATGCTTAATGTCCAATTTGGAAAGGAAAAATGCAGTCTGGCAGCCGCCCTTGAGAAGACAGTGACCTCTTATATAGAGTATTTATGGCATTTTGGCTGTACTGATCTTTTAATCTCAACATGTCTTAAAACACCTACTCTTCGTTTGGAGTGAGCCACCATAATACTTTCTTAAAACAGTGTTGTTTGGTGTTCTGAAGTTATGCTGTTTCATAGCTAGGAGACAATATTTCTAGCTTCTCCCTAAATGAAGTCTTAAAATGTAGGAGTCTCCTGCGCTTTCAGGTTGTATATAGCTAATTAAGCCATGATGTGTATTATATATTGAACATAGGCATGGTTGTTCTGGAGTCTCAGTCATTTTCTACTATTGGTATCTGGCTAATAGCATAGATGTCTGCTGTATTGAAAGTTAACATTTGGTTTCCTGTATCATGACTCAAGTTTCCCCAGACATATAAGTAAATGAAACGCAGTCCAGAGTTCTGCTGGAGGTTGTGGGGTTTTTTCTTCCCTCTCCCTTCGCCCCTGCCACGTATGGTACATGCATGGTTTATGTGTGTGGTTTTTTATAATAGTTCTAGCAAAACAAGAAGCTAGCCTTACCATGTGTTGAAGGAAATATTTGCAGCTCTTGATGAAATTATTTAGGACAAGGACCACATCTTTCCTTTAGTCCTGAAGAGTTGCTGGGAAATATTAGGAGCAAACTAAATTTGAAAAATATGGATCTTAGTGATTTGTGGACCCTTCCAATGTTCAGCTTCAGATGTGCAGGTGTTGCTTTTGTCAGGTGAATGCTGCCTGATTTCTGATTCTGCGTAGTTCATATGCATCAAGATTAAGAAACCGCTTTTTATTAAATAATCTTGGAAACAAGGTAAATATATTTTGCTTTTGTGCAGCATGTATTGGATATCTGTTTTTGATGAGCATTTAAAATGTTTTTAGTACAATTGGGACAGTGCATTATCTCTGGTTATAAAAGCAGTACAGTGCTGAAATAGTCCTCCTTAATTTTGGTCAGAATGAACAAAAGTGTCTGTGTTTATTCCTGCCTAATGCATCACAAATCTGCTGACATGCTAACCTTGGAGTCTTGGCTGGCGGTAATCAGGCCTGTGCAACGGCAGGAAAGATGTACCTAATGCACGCCATCAGTGCAGTCTGCATATGGAAGTTCTCACAGGGGAGCTGCCCTGTGCCAGCTGAGGGTTACCTGCCCACTGCAGTTATTGTATGTAATTATCGAACCAATCTGTTCAGCCCAGCAGGGTTTAGATGGTAATCATGAAGCAACACTTTGGAAAGGAAGGATGTAATGCACTCTCCCCTTCTCTTATGAGCTATGTGAAGTTGTAGCCACTTTTAAAGCTGTATTAGTAAAGCTCTAGTCTCACACAATTTAAAAAAAAAAAAAAAAAAGAAAAGAAAGAAAATAGTAAGGGCAAACTCTTCCAGCATTCAACTATGTTGGATACAGATACAGGTCAACTCATCCTTTGCAAAAAAATCATGTGGCTTTAAAAAAATAATCTTTCCATAACTACCTTAAGAATATTTTGCAATAGTGAGATTAATTGTAATACACAGATAATAACAGTTCTATCCATTTAGAGGTTTGAAGATAATGTACCTTGAATAGAGTTCAGATTTCCCAAATACCTCTCTTTGGAACAGAACCCATAGCTGCTATCAGGAAAAAAAAAAAAAGTACTGTCAATGGGTGTTAGCTACTTTTAAGCTGTGCAAAGCCTTAAGAAGCAAGAATACAGATAAACTTGAATTTAACGAGATGTAATTGCTTTTTAAATAAAGCAATTAACATCAACTTTGGGTAAAATGTTTTTTGTGTTGATTTTTCAGACTGCTCCTTCTGTGACAGTTGTTCTGTGTAAATAAAAAAATAGGTTTTGATCATAAAAACTTGTGTTTTCATACATTCGGATTTCAAATCCTAATGTGATCTGCAGATGGGGGAACTGAACTTTTGAATATTCTGTTGCCTGCCTAGTACTGGTATTGCATTAATATATGAATACATTTTCTTACAACTGGAGACATTTTATCGTGTGAAGAAATAATGCTTAAAATTAGGGAATACATTGCAAGGGTGAGATATTTTCTACTTTGTGTGGTCTTTTCTGCTCTTGAGTTCAGTTGTTTTTTTTTTGCCTTTTTTTTTTTTTTTCTCTAGAAAAAGAGAAAAGCAGCAGAAAAAAAGGCAGCAGCTACAGCCAGTGAGGACACTGAAGCAGATATGGAAGTTGCAGGAAGCCCAGAAAAAAAGAAACCTACTGCTTCTAGTAAGTCAAAAGGTTGTTTCCACAGTCACATTACTGGTGTGGCAGGTTAACCCTGGGTAAGGACCAAACTCCCACGCAGCCACACACTCCCCTTCTCAGTGGGACAGAAGGAGGAAATAGGATGAGCAAACTAATGGTATGTTTTGGGGAAATAGAGGATCTTATGGGGAGATTGTTTACCATTTACTGTTGTGTGCAAAACAGATTCAAGTAATTACAAAGATATTTTTCCTAAGGAACTTTGAATTAAGACTTTTCAGTAAAAGACCAGATGTTGTCTGTGTTCAAGTAGTCTAAAAATAATAAAGCGGTATCACTGGAATCTACCCCAAAATAAACCTGCTTGTTTAAAAAAGGTTTGATGGAGTATGGCAGGATGGGAAAATATAACATTTCAAAGACAGTGATATTACTGGTAAGTTATAGATTTATGCTACTATATTTACTCAAACAGGGTGGTATGAAGTCCAAGTAATTAAGCTAATGTTATTCCAGGAGGTAACACTGCTATGTTCATTTCCAGCTGTTTAAGTTATAGAATTCTGGTCATGAAAATTGGTGATTATTTGTCTTACTGGAATGTTGTTTGAGTTGTTGACTTAAACTCATGAATTTTCTGGTCTGTTTTTGTCTGTAAAAGGGTTAATTAGAGTATACTTTCAAGGAAATAAAATTCCTTAATATGATGCTGATGTTTATTCATAGTTTTAGCATTTCAGATTTCATTTAAGACCTTATAACAAAAGAATTTGATATAGCTGAGTATTTTCTGGTTGTGATTTGATGCACTTGAGCAGAATGTACTTTAATTTTATATTACATATTATAGTTCTTTTTTCCTGGGATTCTAAACTAAAATTCTCATAGGTGGAGATGGAAAATGAACTCAAGGAATTGCAATCCAAGTGGTAGCATCAGTTTTTTTCTAAATGCTAAGGTTTTTCAGACTAAGTAAAGGTATCTGGGAGGCTATATATATGTATTCAACAGCCAGTGCTTAAAGTAAGTGAGACACATGAATTTAAGCCTTCTCTTGTAAATTCTATAGTTTCAGGCAAAATGGTTGTAATTTCACCTTTTTATACTATCAGTTTTAATGAAGACTAAGTGAGGGGAGTGTATCAAGTGATTTCAGGTGAAAAGTGATACATGTTCTTACCAGTTTGGTTCTCTCCAAATTTGGAATTAAAAACTTTACCACTTATTACATGATTCATGCATCTGTGTTGAAGGAAAGGGTAACTGTTTCATAATGTTGTGATTTTTGATGTTTTTGATAAATTGAGAAAACCTCAATATTTAGAAATACTTAAAACTGCATTTCCAATTATGACTAATTTTATTTACCGTAGACTTGTTTCTTCATATATGATTAGTCCTGTGACTAAAACAATATCCTGAAGTATACTGTCCAGTAAAATGGGTATTTTTCTTGATAACTGTTAATTGTAGAAATCGAAATTTAAGCATACAGGAACATTTTAAAAGTTCCTGAAGTGCTATTTTATTGGTTTCTAAAGGGGAGAAATATGGCCAGATGGGTTACTTTTCAGGTGTTTAAACGACATCTCATGAGTATTTGGACTTAAAGCAGTGACATGAAAAATCTTGTTTACCTCTTCCTGTTCACTTAAACAGCATTAACCACATCTGACTACGCAGTTTTAGTCTTGCCTATAAAATAAGTTGTCCCAAAAAGTTTCTGATCTTCTGTGCAGCACTTTGAGTACAGCAGGATGCACAGTGGCTACAGGGACTCCACCAGTAGTTAAATCTACTGCTGCAGAGGCTTTGGAGCCCCTGGGCTTAGTGGAGGAGGAATAAAGAATGGTGATGAGAAAGGATGGGCATCTTGAAATTCTTGCTGCTTCCCCTGGTTGTTCTTAGCATAGAGCAGCCACTTCAGATGAGTTCATTAAAGGCCATCTCTTTCAATCATGTCAGACATCAGTGCTTCTGGAGCTGTCAAGTAAGAGTGTTAGACTCTTCTTTTTAGAAACAGGATTTCAGAAAGCCCTCGAGAAACAAGCTGTGTTGTACTTCCAAAATAAGATGCACAAAATTGTGTGCAATTCTTAAAATGTTTTTTATTTAAATTAGCTTGTTACCAGTTTCCTCTTTTTTTTTTTTTTTTTTTCACCCGTGATAGCTGGAACCCATATGCTTTCCTGAAAGGTGGAAATTTAAGAGGTATCCTTTTTAAGGTAAAATGGATGGTCGTGAAGTATTATATTAGTCAATGTCTCTCCAAGGAAAATAGTATCAGAAGTGACGATTTCTATTTTAAATGAAAAGTTTTTTTCACACTCTGTTACAGCTCCATTTTCAGTATTTTGTGCCTTCATGTATGATAGTAAAATATACAGGCGTATAAGTGATGATGCTGTTAAAGCAGAATACCAAATTTTGGCATACACTGTACGTACCCACCAACGCTTCTACAGGGGTGTACTGCATAATATTAATAGGAGTGATATTCTTGTTTTTAATCAGTTTGCATGGAATAGGCAGCCAGTATAGGGAACTTTGGTGGAAATGGCATAAATGCTGGAAAAGTAAGAGTTCTATAGAATCTGTAAATAACCCTAAGTTCAAAGCTACCAGTAAAGATAAAAAGTTGCCAGTGGTATGGGTTTTAAAATCTTGGGGTTGATTAAGATTGGGTTCTAGAAATTCAGAATTTTTTTACAACAGATTTTGTTTGTTTTTTTTTTTTTTTTTACCAGCCCTTTTAATTTTCTGTTGTGAATTTTTTCTGAACAGTTTTATTAATTGGGACAGTATAAAGAGAGAAGACATGGCAATGAAAGTGCTGTATTTTTTTAATGTCTTTTTTTAATAGACTGTTCTGCTAGGGGTAGGAATTGTGCATGTTTATTGCTGGATAGCATCTAGCATGGTAAGGCCTTAACTGGGGTCTTCAGGTACTCTTGCAGTATAAAAACCTGTGTGAACATCTCTGATATTAAAACAGTCATACTGATTGATTGGTTAGAAGGCTTTCCAAAATGGAGGTTTAATAGTATTTCTCAATTAACAGGTACTTAGCTTTATGTTTTTTTTACATTGCATGGCTTTGCATAAATCAGTATCTGGGTTATTGTCTTAGAAATCTTTTTTTCTTTATTCAAGCAAGATTTATTACTTAATGTTGGATTAAATCTACACTTAGGCTCATTTTCATATTTAGAGAATTATTGGCCTTGTCATCAAGCTTTAGGAGAAAGCAAATAATGTGTTTTTTTTTTTTGAGCTTGTTTATGCTGCCACTTGTTTCTTGTCTTGCTACTCCACACTAATGCCCGCATTATAGGTAGATTTTTACCTCTTAATTTTACATCCCAATACAAACATATATTTTCAGCAAAACCTGTACCTTACAATAGTTCCAGCTGACTTATTCATGTGTTCCTTCTTGTGAATGATTTGGTAATGACTAGTATCTGTAACAGGCTCCAGGAGTAAGTGGATATTTGTCTTGAAATGGTGTATCTGTGACTCATTGTGAAAAGATCTGTCCCTTTCTCTGCCATTCCTAGTCTTCCCTTACTTTTCTTGGGAATGTTGCAAATTAAATGTTCTAGTATGAGAGTACATTATCTGGGTTTAAAAGTTAAAATCATATACTTGTATGTTTTATGTAGAAACTAACATGAAGATTCGGGTTTTAGTGAAGAGAAATGTCCAGTTGTCAGAAATGTTGACAAACTCGCTTCTGTGGTTTGCATTGTGTTTATTCAAACACAATATAAAGTGATCTTTTTATGTCTGGCCCCAAAATTGTTTGAGGACCTTCAAAGCTATTTAAATTAGAAGAGGTGTGGTAGGAAGTGATTTTTAAGTATAAAGATCTTTAAATTATGAGTAAAAATGTTAAAAATAAATTGGATATAAAACAAATCTATCTTTGTGATTCTTCCTGAATAATGGTTTTCCTTGACAATTTGCAAGTATCATTCCCTAAGAAGCACCTTGAACATGTACAACTTGTAATAATAAAAACACAAAATTAATGTCCAAAATGTAAAGTATGGGAGTGTTCCTGTTTACTCCTGTGTCTGCTTGGACACTGTTTTCTATGTATTTTCCCTTTATATTTTAAGCTTATTTCTGTACAATCTCTTCAGACCCCTTCTAGCACTTAGACACGTAAATGTAAATACATTTAAGTTCCTCGTTACACTTCTTTTTGTTATTACTGCTACTTTTTATTAGCTTATAAAAAGTATTAAAACAAAAAAACCTTCTGAAGACAGTTTTCCATGTGGTAAGCTTTTGTATAGTGACTTCATATGTAGAACTAAATCACTTAAGCGTAAAAGTGATGTCTGCTTTTTTCTTGGTTTTGTTGTTTTTTATTGTTAATTTTAATTTGTTTCCCTGTGACCCTAAGATATATTGCAGTTTTCTGAACAAGTCAAACTCATAAAATTTGCAGGTGAAATTTTTCTACAGGAAATAAAGAAAAATTGTTACTGCAGTGACTCAAATTTTTACAGGGAACTAACCTTTTTCAAGATTGCAAGTAATATGAGTTAAACTTTGTTGCTCCTGCAAATCACTGTGTGGTTGAAAGGACGGCTGTTTTTAAGCACATGCTGCATGCGACTACTGATTTATATGTGTATGTGCAACTGTGTTTTGGAATGTCTTCAGTAAAGCAATTTTTACAAATAGAAATAAATCTGTTAGTTTTATCTGGAACAATTTTATATTAAAATTTTTAAAAGTACATTCACAGATTTGATGTTATCTTGGGGAAATACACAGGTGTAAAATCATCAAATAGTACATTTTTGTATCCTGATCTTTTTCCATATGATAATATGGAAATGTATCAGCTTTATTTGTTGCAGGAAGCAGACAACTTGAAAGAACAGAGTACTTAAAGGCAAACCCCATCCCATAACTCTACAAACTAACTCTCTTCTCTTCCATCCCCACCTCACAAACATATATTTCCTGGAATTCAAGTCCATATTTAATCATAGGATAGTTTG